ACAGGGACACACAGACAATCCATGGGAACCAGAATTCAGGATGGTTTGTAAGGGATCAAATACTTATTTTACTCACTGACATTAAAATTTGCATTGTGTTGTTTTATGGATTTTTTTTGGTTGATATTCGCTCTCTCTCCATTAATATGAAACAACAATAAAAATGAGAGACTGTCAAGGTCTCTGTAAAAGTGTGCAAACTTACAAAATCAGCAGGATCAAATAATTATTTCCCGCATTGAAGACAGGATGAAAGTGAGACAGTCAATACAGCAGAGTATCACTGCTACTGGGCATGAGCACACAGTGTCTGCACAGATCTTGTTGACTGTGGGGCTCAAGGTCAAACAATAGGCTTTTATATCTTTATATATTCTAAAGACGAGCTGCCGTCCCAGCTGAAGAAGTACGACATGTACGTTGTCTCATTCCATGAGTGCGATGCATATTTGAGTCTTTGAATGCCGGCGATCTCCTGGAAGGCGTGTTTCCTCTAATGCTAGGCATGCGCTGTCAAAAGAGTCACATCAATTTCATAAAATATTCTCAGACCTGACTTGTCTTTGCTGTTGCACTGCTGAGTCCAAGTATCTGGGGCACAATTTGCAGGTTTTTCACAAGTGTGCTGAAGAGGGGAACAAACCACAAAGTGCAGAGCTGGCACAGTTCCCTGCCTGCCAGGTATCATACAAAATATGACAGAACGAAAGCATTTTTTTGACCTTGGAGTGAGATTCTTTGATTAACAATGACACCGGGTGTCAGGCTGTTACACTGAATTTCAAATGGAGCTTCACATGACAAGTTGCTGAATTCAACTGCAAAAGTGCAGCTGTACAGAGTGACAAATGCAGATGTATTACTTGTAAATAATCTCTATGCGGTCCAAATCATAAACATCAATCCGTTTCCGTATAGTCATTTGTCTTAAGCAGAAGCAGGAGCACACAGTGGATGGATGCTGACTGTCACAGGCCTTGCATGATTTTTCACAAACTGTATTCTATGGCCACTGGGGATAACTATGGTGAGAGGACTCAACGCGCCAATAACTATTATCATGTCCAGCAGCGATATGAAGTAATCGCCCATTCCTCCTGTTGTTTATTGCCTACCTATGGCATGCCATGGGATATGCAGTACAGTCCAATTAGATTTGAAGGACATAAAAGAGCCAGAGAATTCTTATTTCACGGTTGCCTGAAGAACGAGCACTAGACTCCCAACAAGAAAACAACGGTCAAGCTTTTCCAGCAGCCCAGTCTGTGCAGAAATGAGTAACATGAGGGTTATCAGCAGCATTGCTCTGCTGTGGATGCCACCAGCTTTGAGCAATCAGATGAGAGGTTTTAAGCTTGTTAACAAGCTTATGAAGTAGTGTTTTCGACTTAAGTACAACATTAGCACCGGTAAATACTTCCTTGCAGGTACTTAGCTGCTGAAGCCCTCTAAGTCTTACTGACTTAAATGCACACTATACCCAGATATTGATGGACATTTAGAGAATTTCTTTTGACACTGTTAAA